TTTTTTTTTTTCTCCACACCGCCCTTCTTGGCTTTGGCCCTCGCTTTGGCCTTCGCCTTCATTTGCTGCGAGCGACCCGATTTTTGCCATTTTCCCGCCTGTCGACTCGATTTCTTCCGAAGGCTTCGGCCGTTGAATTGCTGCGAATCGGGAGGGTCGTGAGGTGGAGGTATGGCCGAATCGGGCATCGCCGTTGGTCCGCGGAGAGGCGGAAACGCGCACGAAAGTCGCCGCGCCCCGGGTGGTGAGGCCCCGGCGTCTTCCGGTGCTGTCGCTGCTGCCCAACTGCGCAGCGACGTTGGCGTATGGGAGCGTCGCGATGCATGCCGTCGGATGATCACATGGTGCGCGCTCCCACCACCACCGCCGCCGCATCCTGTTCATGCCGATGGCATTGCACCCTGCCCTTCCCGGCACGCCACACGCGTGCGCCCGTCGTTGTGCCAAGACGTGCATTGTGCCTGACGTCCGTCATGTGGGGTCCACAAGGCTGCTTTCTTAATGTAGGTGCGCGTGTCGGCTTGGATCGGTCCGGTGCGAGCAAACAGCGCACGACCCTGACCCCCGTTTGGTTGGACTCTCACTGTCGCCCGCACAGCATGTCGAATGGTCAACGACTGCCGTCGTCTCGCTTTCTCATACGTGTCAATTGTTAGTCCATCCGTCTTACACAGCAACCGTTTGCCGCCAGTCGCTTGTCTGTACCAGCACGCAGCCATCCTCCTTCATCGGCGACTCCAAAGACGTCCCGTGTGGCCCACCAAAACAGATGCTAGCGAGGTGTACACTTGAGCCGCGTCACACAGCTCCTATTGCTATGAGTGACATCGATGACCCCCACACGCCCGAGCTACGCACTGCTACAATGTCTTGATTGCATCCATCAAGACGACCACCGAATGTCCAACTAACGCTTAACACATTTCGCACCTCGACAGCATCGCACCGTTTCCACATGCATGCATTGCTAGTCAACCACAACCGCACGTCCGATCAACTGCGCAAGCATGTTGACCGCCGCTATGCCCCAGGGCAGCCCAGGCGGTGCTGTGATCTGGTGTCTTTGCTCGGCCACCAGTCGGAGCGCATGCAAGCTCGCCAGCACATCTGCCATCACCGCTTCCTTCTCCCTCCACGTCTGCAGCACATCGACGCCAAGTACATGACTCGCCATATCCCTTCCACCTGCACTGCTCGGTCTGTGGACGAGAATCGCCGACGCCGTCGAGCTCGCCATCTCCTCTGTGCTGCCGAATGGAATGGTCCAGTCGAGCGGCAGCGGTTCAGAAAACTGCAGGACCTGCGAACAGTCGGACGCATCCATCAGGACCGACTTCGACTTGTCCACCTGGCCCAGCTCGGTCGACGGCCTGGTGCGCGCGCCAACATCGGCCAGAATCGCACCGGCCTCATCCGGACGCACGCACAGCAGTACCACACTCCCCACCGCCAGCTTCCCATCCTGCGTCTGAGTAAAGTACGCTTCGACGCACGATTGCCATGCGCGCTGCTCCGACTGGCTCATCGGCACCGTGCTGGAAATCACCAGTCGCCACGAGAGACGTGCACGGCTCGCTTGGCCAATCGCATACCGCCACACCTGGCCGATCCAGCCCTCCGCATCGCCCACCAGCACATCCACATCGCTCGAGCCGCCGCGTTCGTCCATCGCGCTGACCACCACCATCTTCGCCGCACCATCCGCGCACACACGGTAGCTGACGTGCAGCATGAGCGCCTCGTCCACTGCCGTCGTCGGCTCCCTCGGCCAGCTGAGCGAAAAATTCGTCCGACCCAGCCCCGTCGCCAAGCTGAAGGCGGGAAACTGGACAATCGCCGAGATCGGACCCGGCTCTCGGCCATGAAGCACCTTGGCCGGCTGTCGCCTCACCAGTCGAGGCAGCTGGTCGTACACCGAAAACGCCAGCCTGCGAATCGCGTCGCTCTGCTGTCCGAAACCCAGACTGCCGCTCTCGGTCATCATCGCTGGGCTGATCGGGCGCACAATCAGATGCTCCGCAAGCACGCCCACCTGCTCGGCAAGCATCACGCGCAGATCCGCCTCGAGCTGCAATAGCCCGCCAAAACCTGATGCCGCACACGTCGTCGAACCGGGCGGTTGCAGCGCATAGATCACCACATGCCGGCCCTGCAGCACGTCCATCTCCACGCGGCTGGCGATCGAACGCAGCGTATCGAGCCACGCATCGCCGTCGCGCCACAAACGCTCCAGGTAGCTCGACAGCGCCAGTGGCTCGCTCCCGTCCGCCATAGCGAGGATCGCCCCAGCCGAGCCAGTGTGGGTGCCCAGCCCATACGCCTCGAACGCAGCACGCAGCCGCTCGAGCCACGCCACAATCTCGTCGTGCCACGCTGGAGATGCATGCGTCAGCAGCACTTTCGCCACCACGAGCTTGTGCCCGCTGACTGCTGACAGCTTCGACTTGTCCCACAGGCTCAACGCCGACGGCAGCGCCTCCACCACCGAGCCTTGACAGCCCACCGCGATGCTCGTCGGTTCCAGCACCTCCGCCTGCACAACGTCGCCCTCGGTCGCCTGAACCGCACGCGACGAGGCCGCGTTGACAACAAGACCCTGCAGCGTAGGAAGCGCCTCTTGCTCCAGAAAGCCGTCAGAATGAGTGGAGCTCTGCGTCGATGGCTTGCTCTCGCTTCCGTGAGTGATTCGGAGCGCACAGGCCATGGCTGCAAGCACCTCGAGCTTTTCGCGCGTGGCAATGTCCGATCCATCGCTGCCTGCATCCACCGCACGGCTGAACATGGCCCGGAACTGCGGATTTTCGAGCAGCCAGCGCGCAGTCCTTGAGAGCATGGACCGCTTGATCGTTGGGTATGTCGAGGATGCAATCGCCGCTGAGCCGGGCCACAGCATGGGAGAAGAGGTGGTCGCAGGGTTGAGCAGCGCAGCGCGCTGATGCGAGCTCGTCGCCTCACCGTCCGACGATGCGCCGGATGCACCGCACAGGTACGAGGCGACAATGTGCCTGGAGCACCTCTTCATCGACTCCTGGTCCTCTGGCGAGAGCGTCACCTCGGTGACGTCCGAGTCGCTGTGCGCGTCGTCGCTCGCCTCGTCGTCATCCTCGCTGCTCGAGCTGTCGCTATCCGACACACTAGCCCTTCTAGCGATCGCAATGTCGTCGCTCGACCTTGGGGTGGACGCCGCATCGAGCCCACGTTGACCACCATGGCGTCCGCCCGTCGCAACAGCCTGTCCCGGCGACATCTTGCTGTTACGATCGCGACGCAGCTGCAGAAGTGCCTGGCCCCGTCGAGCTACCGCCTTCGGAGGCGAAGCTCGCGAGGGCCGCAGAGCAAAGCGCGACGAAAACGACGCCGAATCGCCCTTGCCTTCGTCCTGCACATTCTGGTCCGGCGAGAGCGCATTGGCGGCGTTGGGCAGGGCATGGAGCACTGCGGTGCTCTTTGGCCGCGAGGCGAACTTGCCGAACAAGTCGTACTTGCGCCCGAGGTTGGCCCGCGCGCCCATCGTCAACCTCTGCAACGGCTTGCGTGCCTGCGGCTGTGCCAATGGAAGGAAGGCATTGGGGACAATGGCCGGCCGCTTCTTGTTGGTCGGATCGGTCGACATGGCAGCATTCGCCGCCGCTGCGGCCGCCGAGCTCGCATCCGCCAGGCGCAGCTGTCCTCCATCCTCCTGAGACTCCAACTTGGATCCAGCCGCCGCTGGGAAGCCGGCCTGGTCTTGCGGCGCAAGATGTGCGTATCGGCCGTCTAGTTGCGCCGACTCGCCAGCGTGATGGTTGCCGGCTTCCGAGCCGACAATCGCGGCGCCGTCGCGATACTCCTCGACCGGCGAAAACGGTGTGCGTGGCGTCTTGTGATTAGCTTGACCACCAAAAGCCGGCGAGCTTTCCGTCAGCGAGCTGGGCGTGAAGCCCGGCAGGGAAGCTGGATCGCCGAAGGGCGTCGCTGCCGAAACGGATCGCGGCGTAAAAGAGACCGTGACGGGCGGCATGGCTTGCGAGGAGCTCGCAGCAGTCGCGCCAGCGGTGTCATGAGCAGCTGCACTCGCAGCGATCTGCGAGGGTGCTGCGGCGGCGCTGACAGCACTGTGCGGCGGCGGCTCGCTCGCACGCATTTGCGAAGACTCGGCGCCCATCACGTCCTGCATGCTGGGGATGGCGCCGAAGAGCGCGTCAAGATTGGTCGCCTCGAGATCTTCCATCTCGACGTCCCCGATTCCAGCCGACGTGGCTGACATGGACGTTGCTTGCGCAGCGGCACCACCTGACGGATCCCTTGCGCTCGTCTCACCGCGCCCCAATCCATGCTGATGAGCCGTAGCATTGGCAGAAACATCGGCTTGCGAGACACCCGAAGGATCGAGGTGCGACGACATTGCCCCTTGCTCGCCGGCCAAGGCACTCGGCGACTCCAGACCGAACGCCGACTCGTCGAAGAACGAAAAGTCGTCCTCGGTCAGCAATCCCAGGTTTCCAAAAATATCGCCCTCGCCCTTGCGCTTCGTCTGGGTCTGCCCAAAGCTGAGCGGAGTGGCAGCTTGGCCCTGAAACGGCGTCGATCCGGAAGAATGCAAGCGTCCCTGTGGCTGTAGCAGAGCTGGAGCTGCCAGCGACGCCGGAACTTGTTTGGCTTCCAAATGGTTGACATTGTCACCGCAGGCATCGAGGCCGGTCGCAAAGGCCCAATTCGAGCCGGAAGGGTCCAGGTCCAGACCTTTGACTTCGCCTGCAGCCTGAGCGGCAGGAACGGTACTCGATGCTGGCGGGACAGCAGTCGGCGCAGAGCCAACAGGGACGGACGACGCCGGCATTGCGGCTGCTGAAGCGGCAGCACCAGGGACCTCGCCAGTAGCCTGTGGCAGGAAATCCATCCAACTGAGATCGTCGGCGAACTGTTGATCCGCACTATTGGTGCTCGGGCCAGCTTCGGCACCAGCGTGGTCTCGTTTCTCCGGCGACGTTTGGGAGTCGGTCCGTGGCACGGTGGGAAGCGACTGCGACGGGGTGACTGAAGCAGCTGAAGGCATGGCGAGGTCAAAGTCGGCGAAAGACATGCTGGCAGGAGTGATGCCAGGACGAGCGGAGGAGATGCGCTCGCCACGATGGCGCGTGAGCGAGACGTCGTCGGGCTCGCCTGGGGTGAAGGGCGGTGCGCTCTGAGCCGCGACGGACTCGTTGGCGTCGTTGAGCACCTTGAGGGTGAAGGAGACGAGCTCTTTGAGCGGAGTGACAGGTTCGCTGCGGATGGTGTGCAGATCGTTGGTGGCAGATGCACCGGGCCAGGAGGAGCTCCAGGCAGCCCTGCGCGGGTCGAGAGCAACAAAGCACAACGAGACGGGCCACAAGAAGCGGCGGTCTTCGGAGCTACGCTGCTGCTGCCGCTGGGTTTGTTCGCCAAAGCCTGGTGCGTCGAGGAGATCTAGGCCCATGTCGTCGTCGATAGCCTGGATATGCGGATAAGCGGCGAAGGAAGCTTCATGTGTCTGCTCGAGCGGATGGCTTGCATGCCCTGCTGACGCATGCGCCTCGGCCAGGGCAGGCGGCAGAGCGCACACCGCGATTCCGCTTGCGAATAGGTCCATTTCGACCGGTTGAATGTTCATGCCATTGCCGCTGCCGACATCGAGAGATGCGAAGAGCGGCCTGAGTTGGGACAGATGGTCGCTGGCGATGCTGTCGGATGAGACCACATGGATAAGCTCGGCCCTTTGTCCGAGCGGAGCCAGGTGCAGCTGCGGGCGAGCTTCGTGTGGGAGTGGCGGAGCTTCGTGCTGGCCTCTGGGCGTGCTGGCAAGCGGTAGCGCGGCAAGTCGACGCGAGGTGGTGCGAAGGAGCAGAGAGGATCTGCACAGTGAGAGATGCAGCTCTGCCGCAAGGCAATAAAGATCGGTCGACACCGTGGGAGCACCCTGGCGTGGGGATGATGCTGACTTGCCGTGCAGCTGTGATGGAAGCGCGGCGATGTCTGCGGCCGGTGGTAGGAAGATGACCGAATCACCCAGGCGAAGACGGCGACGGAGCGTAGGGCTGGACGTCGAGGAAGCGCTCGTTCCTGACTCGCCTGCATGCGACGATGAGAAGGGTGGCAATGATTCCTGTGCAAAGATACTGATCGCCCTCGTCTTGAGCGTTTCCATGAAGCGGCGATGCGCCTGGTTCTGCTGTGATGTCAGAACAGACTGCTTCCCTTTGTTGTCTCGGGAGCTAGGACATGCACTTGAGAGCAGATAGGAGCCCCCGTCGACGGTGGCGAACTCGACGAGCCGCGCGAGCGCCTTGACGGATTCCGAGGGCAGCCAGCGTGCCACAGCGGGGAGCGAAGAGACTGTAGGGTTTGTGGGGGTAGTTTGCTGATGAGCCGCGTTGAGGATGACACCGTCGACTCCTGCCGATTGCGCGATGCCCTGCGTCTGAGCAGCATTTGTGGTGGTGGCTGCGGCTGTGGGGCCGACCGCGGATGATGCCTTGCCTGGCGGTCCGGAGTCATCATCGTTGACGGCTGCGAAGAGCCAGAGATCTGAGGCAGAGGCGTAGATGGACGAGTCTGCCGTTGATGCATCCAGGCTGTCCGCAGTGACAGGACGAAGGGCAGATGTGTAGACGAGGGTTCTGCGCACCAGCCGCTCAAACGCGTCGTCCGGAGTGGTTTGAGCATTGTCGTCGTTGCGAGATCCAGCTTGGACGTTCTTGCTGTTGGCGAGGATCTCGTGGACCGCATTGGTCCATACGGAGTCCCTGCCTTGGCTCTGGTTCGTAGAAGTGGACGTGGCTCCAGCGGGGGCCGCAGTGTCCGGTTGAGTGTGATCTTGACCGAGTTCGGGAGGCGGGTGAGAGTCGGGCTTCTGCAGACGCAGCCAGTGGACCGTGGTGTTTGACGGAAAGGGCAGCTTCACGAAAGAGGCTGGTGTACGCTCTGTGAGGCGAGAGAGGTATTGCATCGACCTGAGGTGTGCTGATGCGCTTGCTGGAGGCATGGCAGAGCGAGGCGCAGCGACGGTGCCGGGAAAGGGAGTATTCGTGTGAAGGCGGCTGGAAGCAGAGGTGGTGGAGGGCGATGATGCATGCTGAACGGGTGCCATGGCTCCGGCACGTCGATGTGCCGAGGGGCTGTTTGCAAGGCTGTTGGAGCGTGCATGCGCTGCGAACGCGCCGGGTGTGTGAGCCATGGTGGGGTAGCTACCGGCACCACTGCCCCGCGATGCTGATGGTGTAGCGCCCGACGCGGGCTGCTGATTCCACACGGGGATGGGCGGCGACGAGGCCGTCAACTGGTGCTGCGCATGGGAGCCTTGTTAGCGGTGTTTGCGCTGCGAGTCGTACCTCGAGAGCTGGTCAAGTAGGTTGGACACGATGCCTGCTACGCGCTTGCTGGCGTGGGTGCGTTTCCGTTCGCTTGAGCTGGTGTGGGTGGATGAGTAGGTGAATGCCGCTGATGCAACGCTGCGGCGGGCAGGCTGCTGCGTGTGTGGTGGGGTTGTGGAAGAGCGTCGTTTGGCGGCTGGCTCGCATGGACAAGCATGGGCGGTTCGATGCAGTTGAACGCCGCACAGACTGTCACAGCCAGCCTTTTGGCTCCACTCTCGACCGGCTTAAAAAGAGGGTCCAACCGTCGAACCTCGTGACAGCTCCGATCGGACCGCAACACCGGATCGGCGGGTTCTCGACCCCAATCAGCCGATTCAATATTATGGACCCGGGTTTTCGGCGTGCTTTTTCTCGACCCTTTTTTCAAGAAGCCATTCCGCTAAAGGTCGATCCCAAGCGGGAAAACGAGAGTGGCTCAAAAGACGCTGTACAAGCCCATTTTAAGCAGCGATTCCTCGATAGCGCCGAACGAAAGAGGTGTCTGACGCACGCCGAACAGATACGATACCTGCAGCTTCTAAATGCTACTGATGAACTGCACGTGACTGCCAGTGATCCGATGGAAAGGGCGAGAGAGAATACCGCATCGGACGATGACAGGATCGCATCGCCCGATCTTGGACTCGAAGGCTGCTGTGTGAGGCATCGGAGGCTGGTCTTCGGACTTCGCACGACCGGTGACGAGCATGCTGGTCGGCATGGGGACGACGCAGCAGGCACGGAGAAGATGCGAAGAGCGGGCGCGAGTTGGCTCGGATTGGGAATCCGTGCGTGTCAGCTCGGCCAAGTGAGTGCGGCAAGTCCGAGTCGCGTCTCACTTTGAGCTGCTGCTCTCTGACTGCGGCTGGCTCGACTCAACGCGGTTGACGAAAAGCAATTTGCGCAAGGCCATCACCGAGGCTTGCCGCTTTGCCGCTTCCGCACGGCGAGCATTGCAGCACACACACCTTGTTTGTCTCAAGAGGAGCCACTAGCGGGCCGACGGGACGACGCCCACCGATGGCAGTGCAGCACAGAGATTGCCAATCAACCCCGCCCCAAGCAAGCCCGCTGCATCGACACTTTTGTTCCTCGGTGCTCCGCCAAGCGTGCGCATGCCAGCCTCAGCCCCTGCCAAGATGGGGGTCTGAGGCATTTGGTCGCTCTACGAGGCGTTGGAAAAGCACCATGCACGACCATGCAGCATGCAGCTGCTTGCATGGAGCGAATTTCGGCTGCGTCTTGCTCTGGCCTCGCTAAACTGGCAGAAGGACGGCTCGATCTGCGGCGCTACCTTAAGTCGAATGCTGCCACTGACTCCTTGCGCGCTACAAACACCAAACACGGCTCCGCAAAGCACACATGGCTCAACTCACAGCGGTGGGCAGATCTGGCTCTGACTGGCCTGAGTTGCAAATTCGGCCTAGCGAGGCGTCGAGGAAGCTTAGGAGAATTTCCATCGGCTCAGCCTGCAGCGTCATTGTTGGTTCAAACTCGACGGGTGTTGATCGTAACAGACCGGTCGAAGGCTTGCATCCTCGTCATCGATCAGAGTCGATCGCCCAAAGAAGCATACGACGTTGCCAAGGTGCAAAGCCAAGCCCAGCCAAGCAAGGCCAAGCGTGGTCGAGGATGGCCAAGACATGCCGATTAGGGCAACATGGCGGTGATCAGGGGGCAAGGCCAAGATGGGCGCGTGCATGGGCGTTCGATTGCGCCGCCTCGAAGCGCTAAGCAACCGCACAGGAACGACGACGCCAGATCCAGCGCCCTCACCTGCAACGAGGCTCGAGCTCGACAGCACATGGTTGCAACGCGCAACGCCTTGCTTGGCACCACTCAGCTCTCAGTAGTCTACAGCAACAGCTGTTCGAATTGGTCCAAGGTGGTGTGCCGAGCTCTTCCGAGCTGCAACGGCCATTGTTGGCGTGCCGACCCTTTGTGGGTGTGCAAGTGCCCCCTATGCATAGTAAATCTTCTCTCCTTCTCCATCGAGCGTGCGAAAGCGTGCCGAAGCATTTCGGAAGCATCCTACCCTTCTGGCGCCTGCATTGTTGCACTTTACACGCCTCCAAGAGCGGAGATGAGCAGCAGAAGCAGCAGCAGCGTCGGAAGAGCGTGCCCAACAGGCCGCGCGGTGAGACCGACACTGGCGAGGTGCGGGATCGACGAGATGCATGGCTTCGGACACTCCGACCCCAGTCGATTCGCCAGCGCGGGCCGACCGACGACGCGTTGCTGCTGGCGGCGGAGCGGGCGCGAATCCAGTGTTGGTTCGCATGCATGCCAGTTGGCGGAGGCTGCCTGCCGACTGTCGAGGTGCGCTGGCTCGGCTGTTGCACTTTCGGGCGCTCGGCAGCGCGTGTTGCACGTCCTTTTGCGCAGAAGCGGCGCAGCAGATTGGCATGCCCGCCAAGCCGGCGCGACGGCATGCAATTTCCACGGCGCTCCTGCGAAAATTCCAGCGCAGAGATGCACGCTGCACCGCTGGCGCCGAGGCTGTTGACGCGAGCCGACACGGCTGGGATGCCTCGAGCTGCACGTCTGCGCATGCGCCTCGGTTGCGCCGACGAGGGCAGACCAATGCAGATCAACGCAGATCAACGCGTGTTTTTCTCGCTTCCTCTCGCCAATGCCACAATGCCACAATGCCAGAATGCCACACTTGAGCCTGCAGATGCCAAGTTTGTCGATCATCGCCATCCCTTCCTTTGCCGTACGTCAGTCAAACAGCTTCGACGGGCGCAGAGGCTGCCCTTTGACAACGTCCAAGATGGGCAGGTCGGATCACCCGCGCAGCAACACACTGTCGCTGCGCTGCCGTTGCTCTCTTTGCGCTCCGCTCCTGCGCTCCTTTGTGTGTGGATTCGGCACTGCAACTGAGGCCAACTGAGGCCGAGCGCACATCGTGAGCGTGTTGCTCTCTCTACCATGCAGCGCTCGAGTTCGAAAGGCGAGCCATGCTCAACGCCTCTTGAGATTGAGATCCGCTGGGCTGTTGTGCCGCTGTTGCCCTTTGTGCCTTGCCGCTTCGTTGCCTGATTCAGCTTTGCATGCCCTCCTCCTCGCCCTTGGCTCCTCGCCCCCCATGGCAACACTCATCCCTTGTCCATCCTCATATCCATCCATCACCACCCTCCCCCCTCCTCTCTACACTCCATCCTCTTCACCCTTCCCCCCTCCTCTTCATCCCTTTCGGACGTGGCTTTGAGAGCACACGACGATCACCACCACCACCGACCCCCTCCCATCCCTCTTGCCCGGTCGACAACAACCAACAACAACACCGACAGCCACAGCGCTTATCACACAGCACAACACACCACTAACAGCTACATCAGCATCCTCGTTTCGTTTGTCTTTGCGGCATCCTTGCATTTCGCGCACCCAGCATCGTTTCATCCGCAGCATAGGACGTGACTTGCATTGTCTCTCTCCACTCTCCACCACCGCATCGACTCGATCCTAGCCCTATCACCACATTCCTTTTCCCCAAAACACATCCGCCCACCAAGATGCGTTTCTCCGTGCAGATCCTCGTGGCCGCTCTGGCCGCGCTCCTCTGCGCCGTCTCCTCCACCGAGGCCAAGCTGCAGCGCGGTCTCGCGTGGGGCGTCAACGACAACTACGGCCCACGCATCGCCAAGGGCCTGGTCAAGTGGTACTGGCACTGGCAGGACGGCCCCAACCCCAAGTTCAACGGCAAGCTCGAGTGGGTGCCGTGCTTCTGGGGCCCCAAGTACTACTCGCAGTGGAACCAGCGCAAGCAGGAGATGAAGGGCAACCTGCCCAAGTACCTGCTGAGCTTCAACGAGCCCGAGATCCCCGGCCAGTCGAACCTCGACCCCAAGTACGCCGCCAAGCTGCACATGAAGGAGCTCGAGCCGTACGCCAAGAAGGGCGTCAAGATCAGCTCGCCCCAGATGGTGTACAAGACCGAGTGGCTGCAGGAGTTCATGGACGAGTGCAACAAGCTCGGCTGCACCATCGACTTTATCGCCATCCACTGGTACGGCACCACCAAGGACATGGCCAAGTTCAAGAAGTGGATCAAGACCATCCACTCGCGCTTCAACAAGCCCATCTGGGTCACCGAGTACGGCATCACCGCCGCGTCGGGCTCCAACATGGGCGCGATCAAGAAGTTCCACATGGACGCCACCGCCTGGATGACGCAGGTCAAGTACGTGCAGCGCGCCGCGTGGCTCGGATGCTTCGAGATCAGCAACCCTCCCGACTCGTACGCCAACAACAAGAACGCCTTCCTCAACGGCAATGGCTCGCTGCGCGACATTGCGTACTGGTACATGTACACGCAGAACCCGCACAAGCGCTCGGCGCACTCGAACCGCGCGCTGCCCACCTCGCACGTCGCCCGCCGCGCCGTGACGCACAAGGACGAGGAGGGCAACACGATCGTCGACGACGAGGACCCCTTTGATGCGCCCGAGCACATTGTCGAGTGCGACGAGTACTGCCTCGCGCGCCAAAAGGCGGTCGACGCCTGGGAGGCCGAGCACGGCCCCATCAGCGACGAAGACGAGCTGGACAACGACGACGACGAAGAGTAAGGGGTCATCCTCTCTCTTTTTTCGCTCGAGCCCTATTCTCCCCATCTGGTCGAACCACTGTCACGGGTCCTTATATGGGTGCGATTTTGTCGTCGCCATCGCTCTGTCTTTTATCGTTGCTTTGCTGCTCGCTCCGCCGTTGTCGTTGTGCTGGCACTCGTCTGGCCCTGCGCGCACACGCACATCCATCCCTCCATCCACCTCCACCACCACCACCATCACCATCGTTTCCATTCCCTCAGTCTCGGTTTCGGCTACGTGTACCTTTGATTCCTCTTTGTTTCGGCGCTTCCCTTTTGTCTTCTTTACCTCTATTACTGCTATCTGCGCGGCGATGGGACGGGGCACGATTGTGTAGACGATCGCCGGCCCGTTCGGATGCGTTGCGCCCCCTCGCCCACGTCTCTCTGGCGTTGGAGCCGCAAAAAGGTGCTGGAGGAAGCGGGCATTTCTCGCACCGCTCGAGTGTAGCTGTAGCGACCACTTGTATATGGTCTCCAACCCGAACGCAGACAACGTTTTCTTCTTCCTCTCCTTCATCTTTGCAGTAGTCTATGCGATGTGTGTGTGTGTGTTTGTCTTGTGTTCCTGAGTTGGGAATGTTGACGAGGGAGGAGGGAGCGGATTTGGGTCTGCTCGGCGATTACATTCCGGAAGGCTGCATGGCGTGGAGTGGCTTCCGTCTATTTTTGGGCGCAACATCCTCTCCACTTAGCAGAGGCTGACAGTCACAGTGTGAAGCGCTGGGCTGGGCTTGGCAGGCGCGCAATTCGACCGGAATTGGAAAAAAACGAGGCAGAAACTCGGCAGAAACGAGGCAGAAATGGGGCGAAATGAAATGGAAAAAAGCACGGCCCTAATCATCGTCATCTTGCCTCGAAGTGCATACGACGAGCCGGCTTGTGCTCTTACACTCGTTCCTCCTCATCCTCACCGTCGGCTGTGCGGCTCATCGTCTTCTGTCATTCTGGAGCGGCTCGGATCGGCCTCACCCCCTTCCCCCGCAAGCAAGTCCGCAATCAGCATCATCTCCAGCATTGGCATCACCATCACGGTCACCGCTGCCGTCGACATCCATTCGATCACTCGTAGCCGCCCGATGTCGCGGTCGTAGCGCACATCGTCAGCTGATTGTGTGGATAGCACCGTCCTTGCTCGCACGCGAGCTGATCTCCTCGAGCTCCTGTGCATGCAACCACGCCCCTGTGCAGGTACTGCCGCCGTCTTTTCCCGCGGCTTCGTCCTACACGCTCGTCCTCGCCTTCGTCTCCAGGTAGCAAAGCCAGCCTCGATCGCGCACGAACACTGCCACGCTCGTCCGACTCTGCGAGCTTCTCACAGCTTGGCCGCACCAGCTTTCATTCCCCCCGTCCCGGCCACCCACGCCACCATGCCCTCGGCGGACCGCGCTCTGCCAGGTGGCGGGCCGGCGCCCCTCATCACTCTCAAAACCCACCCGCCGCTGCCCGCCTTCAGCATCCCGCACCGCGTTCCCGACCCGTCCGCCGACATTTCATCCTTCAAGCTCTCCATCCTCCGCATCCTCACCGGCCAGACCAATGCACAATCGTCCACCAAGCCGCTCACCTTCTCCGAAGAGGTCAAGGAAAAGGCGATCAATGGCTGGAAGATGCAGATGCTCACCCTCGAGCTCAGACAGCGCGACGACCTCGAAGCCGACGACCACGATGCGGAAGACGAGGATCCGAACGAGATGCGCGGCTTCGAGCTTCAGGACCACCACGAGTGCAGCTTGATCGAAGAGGGCGACCAGATTGTCGTCCGACTCAAACCGGCCCACACGCTCCAGGAGCTCGAGCTGCCAAAGTTGCCAGAGGCGCATCGATACTCGGCTCCGACCGGATCGCTCACAAGGGCGGGCACGCTCTCCGAACCGCCGCCCTACTCGATCATCCAGCCTTCCGAGCCGTCGTCCTTCTCGTCGTCTGTGGGCGCACAGCCCAATGCAAACTACCACCAGCACCGCTACCAGGACTATCGCCAGTCCTTCCGCGTGGTCACTGCCACCAACGTCGGCTCTGGTCACATTCGTCGCTCCTCGGCCAACAATGCTGCTGGCTACTCGTCCAACAGCCCCGTTAACCTCGCAGGCGGGCTCAATCTGCTCCAGTCGTCGTCGGCAAAGCAGAGCGGCCCCAAGAACAAGCGTCGCACCTCGGCAGCTGCCGTAGCGACCACCACGGCAACCACCAAGCCCAGTGCCAGCCCCAAGCTGGGTGGTTCGGCTGCGCTTCCCACCGCCACAACGCCTTCAACCTCAATCCAGGCTTCTGCATCCACCAACCCGAGCACCGCCGCGCTGCCGTCCTCGACGGTGGACCTTCAGCATGTCGCATCGCCGCCTACCTCGCCTAGGCTCGACTCGGGGGCTGCCACGCCGGTTTCAGGTTCAGCTGCAAATGAAAAGCCCTCGGCACGCCGCAACAGCTCGTCGACCGTCAATGCGACCGCGCAGCGGTTTGGGTCTGCGGCGGCCGCGAGCGCTTCGTCGCCCAACTCGCCCAATCCCGATGGACGCTCGAGTGGCTTCCTGGCGATGCCCGCCACTGCGCTCGTCATCGGCCCAGGCGTGCAGGGCCAGGTGGGGCGCAACCCCAACAGCGTCAATGCGCCCATCGGCTCGCTCGGCGGGCCCGAGATCACCAGCACCGAGTACGGCAACGCCCGAGGCTTTGTCGGCTTCACCTCGGCTGGTGGCGGCGAGCTGAGGGCCAAACCAAAGCGCCGACCGAGCAAGCAGAACAGTCAGGAGTTCAGCTCGGCTGCTGCGGCGGATGCAGCTGAGAAGCGCGCGGCACTGGCGCGTCGGGCGTCGAACGAGGCAGGTCAGAACGGTAACGATGCGCCAAAACGACCCGTCAAGGAGAGGCAGGCATCATCGAGCAGTCGCGTGGGCAAGACCGAGCTGCCGACCCCACCTGTGCTGCCGCCCATCCAGAACCTCGCGCCGTTCCCAGAAATGATCGAGGCGAGCGAAAGGCCGAGGCGGGAGCGCGATTTGCCGCCCATGCCGTCTGCAGCGGACGAGGCCGAGAATGGTGCGTCGATGGTGGCGGTGAGTGCGCCCACCGAGTCGCGCCCGCCGCGGCTGTCGTTCCTGCGCAAGTTCAGCAGCGCCACCAACACCAGTCGCAACACGGACAGCGGGCAGGACTCGCCCGGGGCGGAGCCGCGCGGACTCGGCCTGGGCTCGTACCGCGCCTCGCACCTCACCAGCGCGCCGATCGACGAGATGGACGCGGCGATCCAGCCCGCCCTCGACGGCGAGTCACAGAACAACAGCCTCACGAGGGCGGAACGCAGGTACCTCGAGGTGCAAAAGGCGCTTGCTGACGAGAGAGACAAGCAGGCCGAGGCGGAGAAGCTGCGCGCGGGCGAGATCCGCGCACAGCACGAACGCAAGCAGAAGGAGCGCGAGAAGAAGGAGTCTGAAGCCAAGAAGCGCGCAGAGGAGCAGAAGTGGCAGATGTGGGAGGAGGTCAGGCGCAGACAGAAGACCGCCGATACCACCAAACCCGTACCGCCCGGCATTCAGAGGCTGTATAGCGGCGCTACCGCCGACTCGAACGGCTCGAGGTCGGACAAGAATGCAGCCCAGGCAGTGCAGGCAACGAGGCCAGGCGGATCGCGCGCTCGCGCTGCCTCGACCGAGCAGGCTGCCGCTGTGGAAAGCAACGTGCGCTCGGCAGGCACGAACGGTGCGGCGGGAGCAGCTCCAACGACGCCTGCAGGGGATGCGGGCACGGCGGGCGATAGCGGCGCGAACGGCGCTCCCGGTCCGCGCATCGAGCTGGGGCTGGAGCGCATCACGCGCCTGCTCGCACGTCTAGGCTCGCCGCATACGCGCTTCCCCGTCATCCACGTGGCGGGGACCAACGGCAAGGGCAGCACGATCGTGTACCTGGACGCGGTGCTGCGCAACGCGCTCGACATCCGCACGGGTACCTTCGTCAGCCCGCACCTGATCGAGCGCCGCGACTGCTGCAAGGTCAACGGCGAGGTGGTGTCGAAGCAGATCTGGCGGTTGGCGCAGTCCGACGTGCTATCTGCCGACCAGGGCCTCGACATCCCCGCGTCCGAGGATGATGACGGACAACCACTCAAGTCGTCGCCGTTTGAGCTGCTGACGGCGCAGACGTTTCAGGCGTTTGCATTGCTGCCCGAGGCGGAGCGACCCGAGGTGCTGCTGATCGAGGTCGGGCTGGGGGGCAGGCTGGATGCGACGAACGTGTTTGGGCGCGACCAGGTGCTGGCGAGTGTCATCTGTCCGATCGACCGCGACCACGAGGCGTTCCTGGGCAGCGAGCTGACGGGCATTGCGCGCGAGAAAGCGGGCATCGTCAAGGACTCTGGGCTGTGCATCATTGCCGACCAGCGGCTGGAGGATGTCGGTGCGGTGGATCAGCTTGCACTCGGGCCGCTGGAGAACGAGTCGAAGCAGCTGGGTGCACGGGCAGCGGGGATTCTGGACGCGGTGCGCAACGTGTGCATCGCGCGCGGCGCGCGGCTCGTCAAGACGTATATTCCCTGGAAGCTGTTGACGCTCCCGCCTACGCGACAGGAGCGTTGGGGAGCCGCGGTGGACTTTACACCCCGACTGGGGCCCACGCTGTTCCTGTCGACGAGCGGGATGAATCCGCCGGGGACGTTTGTGGCGCATCCGCACGATCCGGTGCTGTACTCGGTGGCGGTGGGGGTCGAGCGGACGCGGGCGAATCTGACGGGCGTGTGCATGGCGGTTCAGACGCTCTCGTCGATCGCGCGCGACGAGGTGGAGGACGGGTGGGGCGAGCTGCGTATGCGCATCATGTGGGGGCTGCGCGACGATGCCGAGGCCAACGTGCGGCTGCGCGAGGCGCTCAATGCAGTCCACTGGGCAGGCCGTTGTTCTTGGCACACGCTCGGTGGGGCTGATGTGTTGGTGGACGGGGCGCACAATGCCGCGTCCGCCCTGGCGCTGCGCGAGTACATCGATGCATGCCTCGCCGCTCGTGCAATCTCGCCGGCGGGTAAGGGTAAAGCAAAGACAGAGCCGCAGTTCGAGGTGACGTACGTGCTGGCGTTTAGCGAGGGCAAGGACTACGAGGCCATGGTGCGCGCGCTGCTCGAGCAGCCGTCGGACCGCATCGAACGCAACAATGTAGCGCTGACTACGTTTAGTCCGCCCGAGGGGATGCCTTGGGTGCGCAGCGTGGAACTCGACGACGCCCTGCGCACACTCAAGAACGTGGCGCGCACAGTGGATGTGGGCGAAATTCGCACCTTCCCCGCCATCCAATCCGCCGTCGAGTGGGCTGCGGGCAAGAGCGCAGGTAAGGGCGCCGTTGTGGTGGCGGGCAGCCTGTACCTCGTGGCGGACATGTATCGCTTGCTGCAGCAGCGCGGATTGTACTTGCCCTAGACAATGCAAGATCAACTGCCGCGATGGGGTTGTGTGTGTGTGTGATGAAGCGGCCAAATGAGGGTGGGTGAGCCAGTTGTGGCTTGGGCCTTTCATTTCGAGCGTGCCTGGCTGGCCATGTGTGGTCTTGGCGACATGGCGATCTGTGCTTGCGATGGGGGCTGCTATCTATCCACCATCTTAGCTCTTCGTGATGATGCTGTTTTTTGTGCTGGTTGCGCTGTCGCTGGCGTTGGGGGTGTGGGGTGACGAGCACAACATCGTCATCCCTCTGGCGTTTGAGCCGGACTCGCAGCTCATGACCGCCACCCTGGCAGTCGGCTCGCCCGCCAACACGTACGACCTGGTGCTCGATACCGGCTCCCCGTTTGTGGTGGTGCAAGACTCGGTGTTTCACAAGACGGCTTCGACGAGCGATGCAGCGCAGCCCGAGATGGGCGATATGCAGGGCTACGTGACCACGACCCCCGCGGGAGGCGACGGAGCACCCGTCAAGCCTACGATGCACTTTATCACCGATTTGGCCTACCTCGTCCAGGGCAGTGGGGTCGAGGCTGGAGGAGGGGCTCTGGCGGGAAATATGACTCTGGCACTTGCCGGATTGCCACTCAAGGCCCAGGGGATCCTGGGTCTGACGCCGCCGTTTAACAAGGTCCAGGCAAAGCCGGGCAAGGATGGCAAGAAGACCAAGATTCCCAGTGCCGATGTATCCTTCCTGGCTTCCTACCTGTCGGACGATGGACGGAAGCGGTTGGGCATTACGGGTGCGTCGCATTTCTACACTGCCATGGCACCACCCACTGATTCGACACCAGCAAGTGGACAGCTCGTGTTCCCTAAAGAGGGTACTACGGTACCGGCCGTGGAGGGGTATGATGCAGGGGCGGCGATCACCATCGATCCTAATTCCGGCTCGACGTTCCCGGGGCATCCGTTCTGGGGCATCGCGCACCGCCACGATCTGCGGTTCGTCATCGACGATCACGTGCTGGACAGTGTGCGCATCGATGCACTTTTGCTCGACACGGGCACGGCGGGTGTCGTCGGTCCACCGAGCGAGGTGGCCAAGATCATCGATGCCACCCAGGGTCGTCTGAAGCGCACATCGAGCGATTCCAAGCAAGTCGTAGCTGACGCCGCATGCGATCTGCCCATCAAGCTGGGCTTTGAGATCGGCGGTAGGCGTACGACGTTCACGGCGATCCGCAAGCCCAGCCCCGCGGCTCCCCAGTACATACGCATGGCGGTCGACGGCCAAGGCAGTGAAGACGTCCAGGCGGTTCAGGCGATCAAGTCGTACCAGACGGCGGGAGTCAATGTGCACCTCCAACAGATGCGCAACTCTGTCGACGCCCTGACGGGATTGATCGGATCCCCATCCGCAAGCCGCTTGCGCAGGATGCAGAAACGAAACCCGCTCCTGCAAAACGCACACCTGGCGGATAGCGCAGATAGTGGCCAACGATGCACCGTCTCGCTCACCGGCAATCCTCAGGTCGACCAAATGTTCCCACAAAACGGCCCCGACTTTAAAGTGTGGATCCTAGGCACCGAGTTCTTCCAGCAAAACCTCGTGTATCACAACATCGACTCGGCCGTCACCACCATCATCCCGCGCAAGTGATGCGCGCACATTCGTTCTAGCTTCGTTTTGATTTTTCAACCGTCTTTACGTGCACGCCAATTTACACATGTGTGTGCGTGTGGTAGGGGGGAATTACGACATGTCTGCAACGCAGCGAATGCATTCGCCCTGCTTCATGTACTCGAAGCCCTTGTTGATGTTGTCGAGGTCGGTCTTGTGCGTAATGTAGTCGTCCACCTTGAAGGTGCCCTTGAGGTACCTGTCTACGATACCGGGCAACTCGGTTCGGCCCTTGACACCGCCGAATGCGGAGCCCTGCCACCTGCGACCGGTGACGAGCTGGAAGGGTCGCGTGGCGATTTCCTGCCCCGCGGCAGCGACGCCAATCACCGTGCTGACGCCCCAGCCCTTGTGGCACGCCTCGAGCGCGCTGCGCATCACCTTGACATTACCGGTGCAGTCAAAGGTATAGTCGAGTCCGCCATCGGTAATGTCGACGAGATGCGCAACGACGTCCTTGTCGAGCTTGGACGGGTTGACGAATTCGGTGGCGCCAAACTTCTTGGCCCACTCTTCCTTCTGGTCGTTGGTGTCGATGGCGATGATACGGCCAGCGCCTGCGTCGACGGCGCCCGTGATGACGGCCAGACCCACACAGCCCACGCCGAACACGGCGACGTTGGAGCCCTTCTCGACATTGGCGGTGTGGGTAGCCGCACCCCAGCCCGTCGTCACGCCGCATCCGAGCAGGCACGTCTTCTCGCGCGGCGCCTTGGGGTCGATGGCGACGAGCGAGTACTGCGACACCACCGTGTACTGCGAAAAGGTGGAGCAGCCCATAAAGTGGAAGAGCTCCTTGCCGTTGCACGAGAAGCGCTTTGTGCCGTCGGGCATGACGCCCTGACCCTGGGTGGCACGCACGGCCTGGCAGAGGTTGGTCTTGCCCGACTTGCAGAACTTGCACTCGCGGCACTCGGCGGTGTAGAGGAGGATGACCGAGTCGCCCTCCTTGACGTGGTCGACCCCCTCGCCGACGGACTCGACGATGCCGGCGCCCTCGTGGCCGAGGATGGCGGGGAAGGCACCCTCGGGGTCGGAGCCCGAGAGCGTGTAGGCGTCGGTGTGGCAGAGGCCGGTGTGGGTGATCTGGACGCGCACCTCGCCCTTGCGCGGAGGCTGCACCTCGATCTGCTCGATCGACATGGGCTTGCCGGCTTCCCAGGCGACGGCGGCCTTGCACTTGATGGTCTCGCCCTTGGTCATTGTGTGTGAAATGGCTGTGCGGGGTTTTCGTTGCGTGGGGAGAAAGGAGGTGTGGTGGAAAGGAAGATGGATGACTGTGCAAAGGGGATGTCGTGTGTGACAGACAGATCGACGGGGCAAATTGACGCAATCCCGCCAAAGTGGAGGTTCGGCAACAGTGGGAGCTTCAAGGCGGCTTTGCTGGATTGCCTCGATTTCCGTCGCGTTGGTCCGTCCACGGCTGCGTCTTTTCGCACGGCTGCTGCCTCGCCGCGTCTTCCCGAGATCGCTTGCATCGGTGCATCAACGAAGATCGGGGCGGTGGGGATGCACCGATGCCCGATGCGACAGAAACAGAGACGCGCGCCAGCAGCACAGTGTTGGTCTCGAGCCGTTCGCCCGCTCGCTCCACTTTTTGGAGAAAAACATGCAGCAGCTGCTGCTGCGCATTCGGGGCACATCCGCATTTCAATGTGCTGAGCTAGCTTACTCTTCACTATCACACCGCTCGACGGCACATCCGATTCCGAGAGGCTCAGGCTCACTAAGCCCTGAGCTTATGCCTCTGCCAAGATGGAGGCGATGCGCAGAAAGATCATCGAGGAGCAGCTGGCGGCCATCGAGCAGGCAAAGCGTCAGCAGCAGGAGCGCCAACAATCCACGACCGCCTCGTCATCCTCCTCCTCTTCGGCCGCCAATCCGGCCGTCACATTGCTGCCCCACCGCAACAAGCACGCTCCTCCGCCCAAGGTCAAGCTCTTTCAGCCGCCACTCATGCCCTACGTGCCGCCCAAGCAGTCGCAGTCGCAGTCGCAGTCGCAGTC